AGGAAAACAAACACATCTTCAACAAAAACTCCAAAGATTCAAAGGAATTAATATGACCAAGAAGGCTCAGTCATTGGAAAAATGGCTTTCCTATCTTTTCCTGATTTTCTTACCAAGCTTGCCTTTTAAAAAGCCTATATAAAGGGGGCTGGAGAGATGGCTCAGAGGGTAACAGCATTGCCTGCTCTTCCAAAGGTCCTGAGTTCAATTCCCAGCAACCACATGGTGGCTCCCAACCATCTGTAATGAGGTCTGGTGCCCTCTTCTGGCCTGCAGGCACACACACACACAGAATATTGTATACATAATAAATAAATATTTTAAAAAACAAAACAGGGAATAAACAGTACTTAAGAATGTTTTTAGTAAGACAGCGCCCCCCACCCCCCATGGTTTCACTGTGTCACAGACATCCACCTCTGCCTCCTGAGCACTGCGATTAAAGGCTTGTGCCACCACCAGGCTTTTTTTTTTTTTTGTGGTGACTTTTTTGTTGTTGTTTTCCAACACTAGGGACACAGAGCAGATCTCTGAGTTTGAGGCCAACTTGATCTAAAGAAAAACTGTCTTGGTGGTGTTATCTCTGTGAGTTCGAGGACAGCCCGGTCTGCAGAGCTAGTTCCAGGACAGGCTCCAAAGCTACAGAGAAATCCTGTCTAAAAAACAAAAATAAAGAAAGAAAAAGAAAAACAGTGTTTTCAGGTAGATATGATGGTATAAGCCTTTAATCCCAACAGTAGGAAGACAGAGGCAGGAGGATCTCTGAGTTCGAAGCCAGCCTGGACTACTAAGAGTTCCAGGACAGAGGGCTCTGTTACACAGAAAAACCCTGTCTCAAAATAGAAAGTTTTGAATCACAACAAATTGGTTTATTACTTAATACTTTTACCGAAAACTTCTATGGTTCTATTATTTTCCTTAAAGGAAGCAATGTTTGTTTTCAAACAGTCTCACTCTGGAACCCAGGCTGGCCTTGAACTGTGGCAATTCTTCAGCTCGCTTGACCTCCTAAATGCTGGGACTGCAGGCAGGAGGCACACACCAAGTTGTTAGTGCCTCAAAAGCGGAAGACGAAGCCAGTGTCCGTGCTGGTGTTGCGTTTATCTGAGAATTTGGGAGGCAGAGGCAGACGAATCTGAGTTCAAGGTTAGTCTGCTCTACTTAAAGTGACACTCACTATCCCCTCCCCTCAAAAAAAAAAAAAAGACAAAACCACAAATTTCAGTTACCTGTAGTTAAAAACACTCCAGTATTTTCCATCTCTCCAGAAGCAGAATTAAATCATTAAAATTTTCTCACTATATAACCATAAGCATGGAATCATTACTTAGCACTATATCTAACTGGACAAAAATACATTTCAGAATCATCCACAAACAAAATATATTAAAAGATTACTTAGGGGAGGGCTGGAGAGATGGCTCAGAGGTTAAGAGCATTGCCTGCTCTTCCAAAGGTCCTGAGTTCAATTCCCAGCAACCACGTGGTGGCTCACAACCATCTGTAATGGGGTCTGGTGCCCTCTTCTGGCCTGCAGGCATACACACAGAATATTGTATACATAATAAATAAGTTTAAAAAAAATATTACTTAGTGGAACCAAAACTAGGGATTAAAAAAAAAACCTACGTAAGAATTAAGATATTGCCGGGCTGTGGTGGCACACGCCTTTAATCCC